AGTTGATACAATTGATCATGGTATTCTGTTGAGAAAATTAGAACTTTATGGCATAAAGGGAAGTGTCATGGCCATGATACTGTACGTTCATATACGTGTCTGATCGTAATAAAAAAATGTCAGTTGGGTGACCTGATGTCAACTGTGAGGCGTGTTACATGTACAATACCTTAAGGGTTTATTTATGGGTCTCTCATTTTCCTCATATATAAATGACCTTCCAGAATGTTTAAATCATGCTACTCCTCGGCTGTTTGCCGACGATACGAATCTTACAGTAGCTGGTGAATGTATTCAGGAAATTGAGTTAAACATAAATAGTGATCTTCATGCATAAATGAATGGCTTTTAGCCAACAAACTGAGTCTTGCAAAAACAGAATTTATACTTATTGCAGGCTCAGCTCATAAACTAAATAACATTGTTATACACAGCCAGATCTCAAAATTAATCATGTAAAAATTAAACAAGCCTATAAAGTTACCGTACTTGAAGTAGAACTTGATGATAAACTATTTTGGAATAAACACATGGATAAAGTCGCTGAAAAAGTTACCTCAGGAATAGGAGGCATTAGGAAAATTCGTGATTTTCTTAACCGAGACACTTTGATTCATGCATGGGTAAAACAATGTACAAGGTTTTAAACAACTTGGCCCCGAGTTCGCTTGCAGAACTGTTTGAACACAAGAGAAATATAACTAAACACGCCCTCAGGAGCTCTTCTACCTCGCTGCAATTGCCCTAGCCCGCGTGTAGGCCCAAGGGAACTGATAGTGGGCCTGCAAGCAAGGCCCGGTATTTTGTATTTTCCGCGTTCGCCCACGAACGCGGCATTCTGATTGGCTGTTTGCTGTTGGATTCTATAATTAGGTCAGTGATTCATCACAAAGGCATAGACAAAGGCTCTCGATAAGCTTAAAATTCGAAAATTGATCACTGTTTTCGATTACAAATGGAACAAGAACAGACTGTTTATTGTTTACTTGAAGGAAGAGATTTTTTTCCGTTATGCCAATGAGGATTGCTTGTCGTTAGGTGTTGGAATAGCAACATTTAATACGGCTGGGGTAAACTAATAGTAACCTTTACTTGAGTTTCATTAATTTCAAACACACTTGATACGTTATATGTTCCTCAAGGAAATTATCTTTTGGTTGATGTTGAGATGCAGTTGCATGTAAGCCTATTCAAAATACTTTGCGATTTACAAGGCTTCGCTGAGAGAGCAAAACAGAAGACGGTATTAAATTGCCGTCTGAAACGAAACGATCTGGACTCTGAACGCTCTCTTCTTTTGTAGAGTTCTCACTGTAATATGTATGACTATAATAATAATAGGTATCAAGTGTCACAGGGGTGATTGGCAAGGTATTAGGACATTAGTAATATGAGACAGGGACATGAGAATTGTTATTGTGTGATATTCTAGCGTGTAAAAGAGTAATAGAGAAGTCTGGTTTTGTATCGTTGTTGTCTGATTCGCTTATATTACATTTGGTGCCGTGACCAGGATGGCAACAGCGTCGCGTACGAGTGTAGCACTTCCCGAGATCTTTTCAGACGGCGATATGGTTCTGTGGCTACGAAAATTTGAGCTTTGTGCGAAGGCGAACGATTGGAAAGATACAGATATGTTAAAAAGGTTGCCAACTCTGTTGTCTGGCAAAGCTTTTGCGATCTTCGAGCGTCTTGCGGCGGAGACGAAAGAAGATTTTAAAGTACTAACGAAAGCGCTAACGGAGGCTTTTGGTGGCGATGAGAACGGCAAACATCTCGCGATGATGGCATTTCGCAGCCGAATGAGAAAGCCAGACGAAGACATCCAAGTATTCGCCTACAATTTAGAAGCGCTATTAAGACGCGCGATGCCAAACATCGAGAAGGGCGACAGAGAAACACTTCTCAAGCAACAATTTGTCGAAGGAGTGTCTATAGAACTAAAGAGACAATTATTACAACGAATGCTGTTCTTAGGGTTTGTAATCCAAGTGAGTATATATATACATTTTAAGACCTGACCAGGAACGACTGCGAAAAATGCAGCACAAGGTCCTCTGGTAGGAATTGAACCTACGGTTCAATGGGCCGTAGGTTCAGGTTCAGGTGCAGGGCCATAGGTTCAGGTGCAGGGCCGTAGGTTCAATTCCTACCAGAGGACCTTGTGCTGCATTTTTCGCTGTCGTTCCTGGTCAGGTCTTAAAATGTATATATATACTCACTTGGATTACAAACCCTAAGAACAGCATTCAAATATTAATACCACCAAGTGAAGTGCAAGAAACCAGATCTTTGAAGTCCAAATTATTACAACGACCGACCCTCTCGTACGAGGAGACAGTTACGGCGGGGCAACAGCTGGATTTAGCGGGTCAGATTTCATCGAGTCAATCGGTTAACGAAGTGAATACGAGTGGTGGCACGCATCAAACCGTAGTAGAGTCGCCCTTGGTTATGCAATTGATGGAAAGTGTAGATATTCTTACGAGGAAGGTTAGTGAATTATCTCAATCTGTTGCTAACGTAAACGCAGCGTCTGTGCGAAATTCCCCCGTGGGGCGCCGGGGCCCTTGTTATCAATGTGGGCGAATGGGTCACATCGCCAGCGAATGTAGGAGTACGTCCGGGAACGGGCGACGAATGAATCAGTATCGACAGCGCCAAACTGAAAATTACTGCTTTGTTTGTGGACAGATGGGGCATTTCGCGCGGGAATGCCAGTTTCGATTCCAGTCCTCCATTAATAGCCAACCACGTCAGGGAAACGACCAGGGGCCGACCCGTTTCTAGGCCGGGGGTCAGCCCAGGATAATGCGGCCTTGCCCATAAACTGTGTTCAGCCCACGGCAGTCTTCGTAAAGGCACGATTGGGCGAACATGAGCGAAAATGTTTAGTGGACACAGGTGCAACGGTGTCGTTAGTCAGCAGAGAATTCATTAGTGGACCCTTAAAGCCATGTTCTTTGAGGGCAAGAGGGATTGGCGGGGAGGACCTACATGTGTTGGGATCAACGGACTTGCATGTTTGCCTTGGGATGTCAAAGGTCTCCCATCAGTTTCTGGTCGTGGGTATTAGAAACACTTTTTGGGTGCTGATTTCTTAAAATCGGGGGGAATGGTTGTGGACATAGCGAACTCGAAGCTTTCGTGGAAGACAGGGGAAGCAGAATTAATCGTTGAGACAACTTCCCCAACTGTGAACAAGCTAAGTGTACTGCTCGAAAGTTATTCAGACATTTTTGTAAACGGGCCGAGCGATCCCTTAGGCTTAACTACCAGTGCGGAACACGCGATTGATACAGGGGATAGTCGCCCAGTGAAGCAAAGGCCCTATCGGATTCCCGTTCATCTCAACAAAGTGGTGAACAATCAGGTAAATGATATGTTAGACAGAGGTTTAATTCAACCTAGTAACAGTCCTTGGTCCTCGCCAATCGTGCTAGCTCCGAAGAAAGACGGTGATTACCGGTTTTGCGTTGACTTTCGACGTGTTAACTCCGTAACAAAGAAGGACGCTCAGCCAATGCCCCGTATCGACGACATTCTAGACCAGTTGGGGGTGCACATTACTTCAGTACCCTAGATCTCGCTTCCGGGTATTGGCAGGTACCGTTAAGAGAGGAAGATAGGGAGAAGACTGCATTTTCGGTGGGAGTAGACCACTACGAATTCACGGTGATGCCTTTCGGTTTAACCAACGGTTCCGCCACGTTTCAGCGCATGATGGGGAACGTCTTGAAGGGGATAAAGGGGTGCCTTGTTTTCATCGACGACATAATCATCTTTTCCGAGACGTGGGAGGAACACCAGCTAATTTTGAAAGAAGTATTTAGTCGTATTCGCGCTGCGGGGTTGAAAGTAAAGCGGGAAAAGTGCCAGTTCGCGCAAGAGTCAGTTAAGTTTCTTGGGCATGTCGTATCGGCGCGAGGGACCGAGCCTGACCCATCGAAGGTTGAGGCGGTGCGAGACTTTGCAACCCCATCTTCCCTTACCGAGGTTCGTGCATTCATCGGTATGGCATCTTACTATCGAAGATTTATAAAGAATTTCGCGGACATCGCCACGCCCCTGCATGACATGACTAAAGGTAGTCAGCCAGAGTTCAACTGGACGCCGTTAGCGGACAAGTCGTTCAATGAGCTTAAGAACCGTCTGTGTACAGCACCAATCCTATCTTTGCCGGACTTTTCAGTTCCTTTCATTATATATACGGATGCCAGCGATTACGGACTCGGTGCCGTCTTGTCGCAACGAATAGGTGAACATGAATGTGTGATCGCGTACGCCAGTCGAACACTGACGCCAGCAGAAAGAAACTACTCGACGACAGAGAAAGAATGTTTGGCCATCGTATGGACAGTGAACTATTGGCGGCCATATTTGCTCGGTAAAGCGTTCGACATTGTAACGGACCATCAGAGTTTGACATGGTTGCAGGGGCTAAAGGAACCTAAAGGCCGTCTTGCTCGGTGGATACTCGCTTTGCAGGAGTACGAGTTCGAAATTAAACATCGACCGGGGAAACAGCACGACAACGCAGATACACTTTCCAGGTTCCCTCGAGTGTCACCCGCTCTTGTGCCGGATTGGAGCCCCGATGAGGACCTGATGGTCGGAGTAGCAGCCACGGAAGTGAATGCATCGTGGCCGAAGGAAGAGATAATCAAGGCGCAACAGGACGATCCAAGCATTTTCTTGGTAGTGCAGAAGCTACGTTGTACTAACACAGCTCCAAAGAAAGACGAGGATGGTTGGAATGATAACGGAGAGCAACGTCGCTACAAGCAGTTATGGCCGCAAATGGAGATGAGAAACGGTATCCTACATCGTCGTGTGGATAAGGGCGCACCCACAGAGCGGTTGGTGTGGGTGGTCCCACGTAGAATGCGTCCCGACCTTTTAAAGCTTTCCCATAACGACCCTTGCTCCGGGCATATGGGAGTTAATCGTTGCCTTGAGCGTCTGCAACAACAATATTACTGGCCTGGAATGGCCTCAGAAGTGCAACTGTGGGTCGCAGAATGTGAAATGTGCGACCGCCGCAAGTCTCCAGTGTCGCCCCGTAAATCACCCATGCAAAGCATAGAGGTTGGTCATCCAATGGAATTGTGGGCAATGGATATTTTGGGCCCACTTCCTCTAACTGCACGGGGAAATCAATACATCTTGGTGATGTCTGACCACTTTACTAAGTGGGTAGAGGCGGTGCTGCTAGCCAACCAAAGAGCCGATACCGTAGCGAAAGCGTTTGTTGACGATGCTGTGACTCGACACGGTGTTCCTCGTAAAATTCTAACAGATCAAGGGAGGAACTTTGAAGCAGAGCTCATGCGGCAGGTGTTCCATCTTCTTGGGGTGGAAAAATTGCGAACTTCGCCGTATCACCCACAAACTGATGGGCAGGTCGAAAGGTTAAACCGGACCTTGAAGGGAATCCTCACAGCGTACGTGAATAAAGACCACACTGATTGGGACGTTCATTTACCTCTCGCCTTGTTTGCATACCGCAACAGCGTGCATTCATCGTCAGGAGTTTCACCGTTTAGAGCGGTTTATGGTCGTGAAGCCAGCACACCGTTAGTGCTGATGGGCACCCAGACAGAGGCAAAGGAGCAGTTTATCTCGAACTACTGCGATGAGTTAGAGAAGTCCTTGAAGGACGTGCAACGCTTTGTGCAAGAAAAGATTAGCGAGGCACAGAGGAAGCAGAAAAAGGGGTACGATGATCGCAACAACATTGACAAAAGCACGCCTTTTAAGGTGGGAGATCGGGTTTGGCTCAACGACACAGCGGTTCCAAAAGGGCTTAGTCGAAAGTTCCACCTACAGTGGTCCGGGCCTTACGTGGTCCTAAACCGTCTTGGTGGCACAAATTACCACATTAAGCCCGAATCAGGAAATAGGAAATCTAAAGTGGTCCACCGCAATCGTCTGAAATCAGCTCCTTGCCGACCAAGAGTGGAGGAAGGCATGTCCACGTGCTCCCCGAAAGAAACCCAACATACCGCATTGCAGACCAACGAACCGATGATTCATCATCAAGAGAATTTAGTCGTGCAGCCTGCCCACCAAGAGAGGACTAACACGCTACGAAGGTCTACCCGTCAGCGTAGACAACCGGACAGATATCAGGACTATAACCTAGATGAGGTAGAGATCGAGGACGCTCTCAATTATTCATTTAAACATATTTTGGAAAATTGAGTTTGCCCCAAGAGCGTACACACTCATCTAGGGGGCTTACGCTCTCAATTAGAGAGGGGGATTGTGTAATATGTATGACTATAATAATAATAGGTATCAAGTGTCACAGGGGTGATTGGCAAGGTATTAGGACATTAGTAATATGAGACAGGGACATGAGAATTGTTATTGTGTGATATTCTAGCGTGTAAAAGAGTAATAGAGAAGTCTGGTTTTGTATCGTTGTTGTCTGATTCGCTTATATTACATCACCAAATGAAATAACTGAAATAAATTTCGTACTTTCCGCCGCCAACAAGAATTGCACACACGATCTGATAAGTGAGACAATTTTAAAATTTATAGCAATGGCGACAGCGAAGCACACATTATAAATGCTGATGTGGTCGCACGACTTCCCTCACGATTTGAAGTTTGAGACTGGTTTTCTGTTGAAATTCGTCTTAATTTGCCTGTTCCGATTTTAGTTGAAAATGAGCACTTGTAAATTTGGCAATTACTGACTGCGTTGCTTGCTTTTTTGGAGTTTTAACGCAGGCATTTACACATTGTTTCTATTTTGAATATTAAAGCAGAGAAAACCCCGCAACATTTTAATGCGAGTTTGTTTGTTAATATTTGGGTTGCTGTCATTGGTTCTTTTTTGACAATTGACTCGCGAATGGGGCGTGTTATGAAAAGGGGCGTTTTACAAAATACCGGGCCTTGCTTGCAGGCCCACTATCAGTTCCCTTGGGCCTGCACGCGGGCTACAATTGCCCCAACCAAAAACTGAAAAACTAAAGAAATGTTTTTCTTACGACGGAGTAAACTTTGGAATTCTCTATCGGATGTGCGTAATTTGGATACATTGACAATATTCAAAGAAAGAATTCGTGCTCATACCGCCTAAATTCTTTCAGGCGTGAAATTTTGAGTAGCACTTATAACTTTTCTAATTTAAAAACTTTTGCATGCTTTTATTGACACATATACTTGTTTGCGTAGCGTGGTGTATCGTAGATGTGGTAAATTGTCCTGTATATATGTATGTATGTATTTAATTGCATGTGTACGTTTTTAATATGTAATTCACACGCCCCTTGTGAAAACTATACATAGCTTAAAGTTGACGAGGCTACTACTGCTGCCAGGGCCATAGTGGGTGTAGGCCAAAAATTTCCGAATGACGAAAAAAATTTCCGAATATTTCATGGCATACAAAGCCACGAAGGTGTTTGTTATCTGGAAAATGAAGACGCAATTTACAAACAAAAATATGCCTATTTTACGCACAGACATGTTACAGAAGCATGCAGTGCCGTAGGAAGCTCTTTTTGATTGGGAGGCAGGGATCGAGGGCCGAAGGCCTGAGGAAATTTTTAAATTTAGAGTCTCCGAAATGCCATTTCCTAGAGTTTGGGGGAAGTTTTGACAGAATTCTGATAGTCAGAAAACAGCGTTTTAGTATGTCGAAATTTACAATTTGCTTGCAATTTAGTAGTACTAAATGGGCGAAGACGTATTTAATTAACTATATATTGGAGAGGACCGAGAAGTTGCAGGAAAGTATGGGTAATATGATTCTTGCAGTTTGCCATGGATAATGTGGCCGCTTAAAGTTAATCAATTGTCAGTATTTTAAAGGTATATTATTTAAATGACAAAGGTCGGCATGATTTTGAAAAAAGAATGATTATTAGTGAATTATTGGGAGGGTTGCAGCCCCCCAGCCCCCCGCCCATTGCTACGGTCCTGAGAAGTAATAAACCGACGATTTGTTAAATGTTATCCGTGTAAATGCCATGATTTCGTAAATCAGTTTATACTGACAATACAATTATATTATATATATATTTCCTCTATTTAACAACTAAAATTTTGTTATACTATTATTGCCGTAATTTTCCGAATAGCCAACCTGATTTTCCGAATATGTTAATTCTAAAAAAGTTGGGGGGGGGAGGGTTAACCCCCCCCACCCAATACCCCCCCCCTCGCTACGGCCCTGACTGCTGCTGCTACTGCTACGTCAAACACGCGTGTGATTTTTCATTAATACTTCTCGAAACGTGTAATTTCCAATACATATTAACCTGCCGTGGTTAGTGTTAGAAATACCATTGTTGCAATTATTAGGGAGTGTTTCTTTTCTGATGGTGGAGAGGATGATGATGATTTATACGTAATGCGTCCATTTCCCTCAATGTGGAACTGTCGAGTCATTCATCCGTATGGTTTGGACCCATTCTCTGGGGATGTGAGAAGCTTACAAGGTTTTTCTCGTTCTCTTGAAATACTGACTTACATGAGAAGTGAAGCGGCTCGCGTGGGTATGCATGTTGGTGAGTACTTTAATTGTTTTGATGTTTCACACTTTTTACCCCCAATACGGTCAACAAGGCTTTAGCATTTTCGCGTGGGCTTCGTGGGAGCTGAAAAATGACAAAAAAATTTCCGATCGATGTTTTTCAATTTTTGAACGAAAATGCTAATTTTGAGAATTAAACCCTACCTAAAAGAAAAAAACTCAACAAAAAGGGTACGATCGATGCAAATGCAGTCCTTATTATTCGGTTTTCTTTTCAAATCCCACATAGATAGTCCAAAAAACAAAAATTTGCAACGGTTTTTTTTCTGAACTTGTAAAACCTGACGTAAACAAACAATTGGCTGAAAAATATGAAACTTTTACATGAAACTTTTATATGAAAATTTTTCGTACTCTAATGAATTTCAGCGTAGGGGCCTGGATCATACCGCAAGACGAGCTTCAATTTCCAGTATTTATAGAGTTCACTGAGCTTTTGCTTGCGCGGTTGGATGTTATTAATTTGCCAGCTTGAACGACTAAAATACTGAGTTGGCTTAAATAGATTTTTGACGTTTTCGCCTGCGATATATATAGCATGTAATAAGGAAAGACAGTACATCACAAAACTATTTGGTCGAAATTATGCCTTTGTATATTTTGCGTGGACTTGTATGTATTTGCATCGGTTGAACAAATATTTCTCATATGCATCGTTTATACATCATTGATCTCAAGGCACGTAGAGCATTGTAGTGAAATAAAGATTCTGATGCGAATATATTTTATCATAACATGACTTATACAAAGCAAACGCTGCAAAGTGCTTTGGTTGTACATTAAACTGAAATTGAATCACAGGTAACCAGGCTATAAATTTGTTCCATTCACTAATGGACGAATGTTGCTGTATAAAATCAACTTATTTTGCATTTTATTACTTTGTCTTTGATTATATACGCGGCATTGAGTGTGTTTACTCCTGTCAGTAATATACAAAATGCTCATTTTTGTCTATGCATTTCAGATAAATTGTCATCCTAAACACCCCAAACTTAAGGGTGTCACGTGACCGTCCAAAGCCACAGCTAGAGCAGCTGGGAAATTTGCTGCCGCTTTGCAGAGAAATTGCTGGCGCACGTGATATTTTACAAAAATTTGAAAAAACAAGACGAGTGAAATTTCAACTGATGATTTTGCATTTTTAAGACGACGATCAAGGAAATTAAATTGTAGGAAAAACTTCACTAACATCTCAAGTATGGAAAGCATCTACGTTATCAGCATTTTAGTTTGTGGAATGATTCAAAATTCAGGCGATAAAGTTACATGGCTAGGAGTTGGCTTTTATGCTCTTCGAATATCTATTTTCATTCGAGGATTACTGCAACTTGTTGGTCTCATGGGTACCAAAATCGACATAAACGTAAACCAGTAACCAAGAGCTCTAACAAAAATCGCTTTTCAAAAAGATAAACTCTATTCAGTCAAAATGATGAGGGTAAATAAACATGCTACTGCGTGATAGTGATTTCGAAGCAACTTTCTCATATATATTTTAAAAAGTGGGATAATGAATCAGATTTTGCTTTTTGCAATCCCAAAAAGGTATGAAAATTATTTAAATATTTGAGGTTTCCATGTTTATAAAGTGTTTTTTAAGAAAAAGAAACATTTTCCCGAGAAAAAAGCATAGTTTGTGCAGAAAACTGTTTTTTTGAGATAGAAGATCCTGGGAGAGGGGGTGTAGAAGCGTGGGCGGACAGCAAAAAACCTTCACTTTTGCTCCAAAAAATTAATACCAAATTTTGTTTTGCCTTTGTTTAATGTGTAATTTAAACAAGTTTTTTTACATTTAAGAATTCCGCTTGACTTGCCCTTGAGATCTTGCTACTGCCTCGGCACTGAAATGTTTTTTTGACAACGATAATTTACCAGTGTTTCTTTGATATTTTCCTTGTTTAACTCGTAAAACCGAACATACAAGTGCATCTGAAGACTAAGCGAGAGTTTGCTGTAGAAATAGGTTGTTTACCGGGAGTTATTTTGCATTCGCAAGGCGTCAACAAAAGCCGGCATTTTCGCCACACGGCATTTTCAGTGGCGTTTTATACCGAGCATCAGATTCAGTCTTGTTTGTGTGAGGATTATAATATTCTATTGCTCTTCAAACAGATATTCTATACACTGGAAACGTAGAGTACATTTTACTTTGTCTTTGACTCAAGCAAAAAAGTATAAAGTTTAAACAGGCATTCAAAAATATCTCGAGGAATATACAACAACCGCGAGCGTCTTCGCTATATTTCTTCGGGGAAATCTTCAAGTTTCAATGGAAATTTTGGTTAATCTGGCGCATGCTCAGACAAATTTCCCAGCTGCTCACAGCTAGCCTTTTTCGCTAACCATACACTCTAAAAACACTCTGGTTAAATTTGGGTTAATTCAACCAGTACGGGGTTAAAAATTCACCTACACAAGTCTGGTTAAAAAAAATTGACCATTTTCCTGGTTAAAAGTCCAAAAAAGTGTACCAAATTTTTGTTGAATTGATAATTTTTAACCAGGAAATGGGTTAAATTTAACCAGAATGTGTTGGGTGGATTATTAACCCAATTCCT